CTTTCTTTCTTTCTTTCTTTCTTTCTTTCTTTCTTTCTTTCTTTCTTTCTTTCTTTCTTTCTTTCTTTATATCTATCTATCTAGCTATCTATCTATCTAGCTAGCTTTCTTTCTTTACTTCTTTCTTTATTGATTTCTATCTATCTATCTATCTTTATTTCTTTTTTCTTTCTTTCTTTTTTTCTTTCTTTTTTTCTTTCTTTTTTTTATCTATCTACTAGGTTTTTAATTTTTAATTTTTTGACTCGATTGAGTCTATAAAAGAAGTAAGATAGAGCTGGATAGTGTTCTTGCTTTAGTGTTAACGTGAGACTTTTACAAGAATACCACCCAGCTCTGACGATGTCTATCGAATGATGGACGAAAGCTCAGCACGTTTTCACCCGAAACGAGGGAGGAAGTTTCGTGGACTGCGTCAACATGAAGATCGTATCAAAACCAAATGGCTGCAGTACAACGAGTTTCATCTGTCCTCATCTGGTCATATCGGCCAACGAACTTCTTCTTCATGCACTTTCATACGAACTGAAAGTCCCCCCAACAATGTTATCACATGAGATTCATCGAAACCCAGTCACACTTGTATCGTAAGATGTTTGTCTGGTCCATCGGTCAGAAGTGGCTCAATTTGAGATAAGGATGGCTACTGAAATGAGCAGAGTAGGGCATTCTTCAAATGTGTAGAATGCTGGAAGAGAGTTGAGTAAGAATTGCCTGGGCGACTCAACTTGTTAGTTGATTGATGGTTCTAATCCAAGTTTAACAGGCATCAACCAAAACAGACAATCGAGATTATGCAATCCGAATCAGTCTTTTGCTCGGGTCATTCAACGATTGGTCGCTTTGCAATCTGATTGTTGAGCTCACTTCCATTTCGAGTGAAAGTGTGTGCTGAAGAGATTCGTAGGTCGATTCCACCAGAAGACGACGGCAGATTGCTCTTGACCGACTCTGCGCAATCAAAGTAATGTTTATGCGAGATCTGTAGAAAGAGGGATCAAATCTTGATGGCCGAAAACAAACGCAACTTTTGTTCTTCTAATTACTTTTAAGTCATTACCGCTGGTTTCGTGGATAGGCAAGCGCATACAGGCACACACACATGCAGAGACAGACACACTAACATGCTTCTTCGAGGTGGACGTATGACTGGAACTAACCAAATCACCTTGTACACCATCAAAGAGGCCAGATATAATGTATATATATAAAGCTTTTTAGATATTTGCCGGTCAGTTTATTTACTCGTTAGCTTGAAATTGGTTGTGACGATGATACCCTCGATGCTCTGATGATGTTCATCACGTGATGAACGAAAGCTTAGCACCTTTTTACCGGAACAGCATCAACAAGAATGCTCCAGTAAAGCTAATCAACAGCTGGTCAAGAGGAATCCGCTGTCGTCTTCTGATGGAACTGATCTGCAAATCTCTTTCGCAAACAGTTTCACTCGCGATTGGAGTAAACTGAACAATTATGGAACCAATAACTCCTCGAAACACAGTTTTTTTCGCATACACTTCGTGATCCGAACTTCGCTTGTGCCTACTTATATCCCATTAATTCAACCAATCTTATTCACCAACTAATGCAATCTCGACCATGCCTCTTCTAGGGTCCTCGTGCCTTGATGACCAGGGCCTGAGTTACATGGCCAGTATAGACGTTAACGCACACAAACACACGTACACACGCATACGTTCGAGTATGGGAGAATTAAACAAACCATTCTATAAGCATTTATGCCTGAATATTGTTACGGTGTG